GATTGCATTGTCATCAGTTTCTAGGCTATCCTGAAAGTTTCAGCTTGATAGCTAGTCGGGAAGTGAGTGAAATTTGAGTTTCAAAATTTGATCCGGACAAACAGACAGACAAGAAAGTGAGTTCATAAAAACGTGGTAAAAATTATTCTTTTCACAAAAGATTGCATTGTCATCAGTTTTTAAGCTATCCTGAAAGTTTCAGCTTGCTAGCTAGTCGGGAAGTGAGTGAAATTTGAGTTGCAAAATTTGATCCGGACAAACAAACAGACAAGAAAGTGAGTTCATAAAAACATGGTAAAAATTAACCTGCTTGACCATTCGCAGTACAGAGAACCTTAATACAATACTAGATTGTATCAGGTCGATTTTCATTCGAATTCTCCAGCTAACCATTGACCAGCTTACCATAGGCGCCAGATGGAAGCAAAGCCGAGAGCATACTCGCAAGAACTTGTATCTCCGAGGCCAGTAATTTCACGAAGGATAGAACCACGAATCCCACAGACTCCCAGCCAGATATCAGACTGGTCATTTCCTTTTTCGCCTGTTTCAACGCTTTGACTTCAGTGCCACACCCTTTCGAAGTTTCCGCAGAATAGGAATAGTTTTCCACAATCACAGCAATCTTCACGCTGCCTGCAAAAATGTCGAAAATCTCCATCAAAACGCTTTGTACTCAAGATTTTTTTTCCAGTAAAAATTTATTTCAAGACAATATTAAGCACCATCCATTTCAAGAGGTACTTGTTAGGCAAGCAGGCTATCACTGATGTATTTTCCTTGATATCTTCTAGAGTTTTATCCTCAACCTTAAATTTGAATGATAAACCTTATGAAGGGATGAAAAAGCTTTGTGAAGGCTAAATACGGTATTAAATGTTAAGCTAGTCAAGTGCAGAGACAAATATCATCAGATAATATTGCAGTTATTCAGTTGAAGCAAGAGTTTGCTGAGTATTTGTAATTCCTTGTGAAATATATCTTACTCTTAACCCAGGAATTCTGGCCCCTGTCCCGGCTCATTATTGTCTTTCATTTATGCACTTCTACTCTTCCAATCCAGCTTGACACTAGCTTATATTGAGGCAACATCTGTCCAAAATGGTACTTTCATAATTTGGCTTTTCTATCAAAAAATATATACAGTGGAATTCAAGTTGCAGTTTCCCTACTTTAAAACATGCAACAACAAAAAATAATTTACAAAGTGGACTTGAACATAAACCATTTTTCACAGACAAGGCCAGGATTTCCACAAACACAAAGTACAGTACACCAGAGCCCCAGTTGACAAACTCTTGCTTTCTGGAAAAACTCCCTCAGTCAAAAAACCAAAATTTGGTTCAAAACCTTTCTTCCAACAAAACTTTTTTCAGTACATGAACCAAAGTTTGCTTAACAAACTTAAATGCAAGAAAATTTTGCATTTAAATGCAAATTTGACTCTTGGTACTTTAAATGAGTAATTGCGTGTTTTTCAATTTTACTCCTGATATTGAACATGATCCAAGTGCTTCTTTGTCGTTCATCTTTTTGCTCTTTGTACCTTTTGTGGTAAACTGACTGGTACACGAGTCTTGACACGAAAACCCAGTAGGTGTTTGTCGTGAAGAATGTTTTCTGTCGGCACGAAAATGACGTAAATAGTCTTTCAGTTATCGAAGACATGTCTTGAATGTTCCTTCTTTATAGCAAAGGATCATCAACTATATAAAATTTCAAATTTATTTTTGGGTAGAAGGAACAGATTGATTAGTTCACCATAGAAGACTGAGGGAAAATTGGATTCATTGAGTTGACAAACGTTTGTATGAAACCAATTAGATTTCTTAACCAAGGGTCAACTGTATTGCCATTTTAAACTGCAAATGAAGTCCTGTGCTCTTTCAAATTTAAAATCAACTCTCAAAGCAATTTATAAAACCACTATAAATTTCTAAAAAGAGCTAGAGGGGAAACTTGAGAAAGGCTTCTCACTTTTACCCTCCGCATTCTCCGTTCTCTAAAATTAGAGCAGATCAGGCTTACTCCAACTTCACCAGTAGAAAAATCGTCACAGAGTCCATGATACATTTTAATTTGAGTATTTAAAAAATTATGGGACTCTTAGCATTTCGCGTGTGAATCAATTCATTGACTACAAAAAGCATGCAGATTTGTTTCCCTAAATTATAACGTATTTTCGCGTCAGTATGGAAATGATGTCAGCAAAAACCAACTTCAAGTAATAATGTACAGTACGGACATGCGGAATACGACAGTAGAGATAAATAGAATATTTCTGACTAACCCATAAATGGTGACAGTGATCGCAGGGGATCTGATACATCAATCTGAAACCAACACCGTGCACATTATTTTCATGCAATCGTACCAACACCACGAAATACACGACCAATCCACATATTAATTAATTAATCGATAAAAACCACGCAAAGGATAAGTACTGAATGCACTCACCGAAAGACACGTTGATTGCACGGATCCCACAGAATTTCGCACTTCGCAGTGCACAAACCAAGGCTCACCCGCAACTTTGGCCTCATACTGGGAAAAAAACACAGGAATTAAAATTTGAAAAGTACAACATTTTTTTTTATGCTCGCTAATCTGAAATACATTACAGTATTTTGAAAATTGTATCTCCTTATAAACTTGTATTGGACTACAGTATTTGACGTGCCCTCTGTGCTGCACATATGAAGTATATGAATGGTCACTCAATTTTTACCAAATTTAAATTCTTTCATGAAATTGAACATTCTTAAATTTATGACGGTACGAGCAAAATTCCGCAGCTGGTTGTAAATCGTTTTTCATTGATATGGAGAAACATTTTAGAAATCAATCCGCATTTTCTCTAAGTTTACAACAATCTTATAAATTTACAGTACCATATCAACGTACATTTCCACACAGTACGCAAAATTTCGAAGCTGATACTGTAATAAGTACTGTACCATTAAAAACGTATACACGTAATCTCTTTTTAAAAAATTGTTGTCAACAACGATTTGCTCAGTATAACGAATTTTTCTGCCCCGTAGGGTTCTCGCCCCGTGTTATAGGGGTTCTCTACAACGAAATTCTTCGTAAAACGATTTTTTATTCCTGGTCCCTTGAATTTCGTTGAAGAGAGAGTCCACCTGTATTTGATACAATACGCGAATGAACTCAAAATCCACTATCCAAAATCATTAGATAATTAAAAACCAATCTAAAACTTTGCTCTCGCAACAGAAATGTCCGATATGGCGATATAAACGAATTGATCTTCATATGCTTGTGGTTCATGTCCCATGGTCAATAGTAGTGCATTAAGGTAAAATTTTTACGAGTTAAAGGGCGTGAGGCTTTAAAAGGCTTTTATTAAAGTGTGCAAAGTTTTTGATGCTTACCCTCCTAAAGTTTCTTTCCCCAACAGTTTCTTAACGCAAAATATTGTACAATTCTGGGCTAAAATACAAACGCAGATTTTATAAAAATGATGAAGGAAGAAACCCACCTCGAGAATAGCTCCTCGCCCGGCCCTCGAGTCATTTCTGAACCAAACCACTTCAGCCTCGGGCCACGCAAAATAAACACATGATAACCGCACTGATTCTCCGATCCTTGCTTTAAGAACACCGACATTATCACGAAGATCAACAGAAACAAAGAAGGGAGGTTAAAGTTGCCTCTGAAGGTTCTAAGAGCCGTAAGGACCGTTCTGAGCGTGCTGCGTTTGAAACCTGAACTGAAGCACTTATTACCATAGCGGCAACTTTGCCGGTGCGACAAAGAAAACGCAGTGATATCGTGGTCGTAGCAAGCCGGACTTTAACTTCCTTTTAAATGAAGATGTCATAGCAAGTTTTATTTCTTTTTAAAGTGCGTGTCTTGGTAGCGGAGTAAATGTTGAAACTTGCTTGCTAAAGTCCGTTGGACAAGTTGCTACGAAAGAAAAGGCGACCAACCAATTTCGTTCCTGCGCAGTCCATACTTGAATTTCTTTTGCCACATCAAATGAATGATTTTTCTTCTCCTATCTTTGGAACATTTTCAGATTTAAAAAAACCCTCATTCACAGATTTTCACGTTTTTCACGCAAAAATAGAGATGGAGTCTCTGTGAATAACCAAATCCGCTTCGCCACAAATCCTTTTCTTGATCACAAAATAAATCAACCCTGATCGAGATCAACGACACACAGTAAAAAACGTAGATTCAGATATTGAAGCACAAGAGAGGTATTGAGACGATTATTATAAAAATTTGATCAACAATTTCCAATTTTCAGCTTCTCAGAATTATGCCGAGTTTTCTCTAGATTCAATTCAAAAAAAATTTCCGGATCAAACGATGGAGAGTATACTGAAAATTGATCCAATTTTCATTCTTCAAAGAATCCTAGAGTGAAATATATCAAGCAAAAACTAAACCTTCCGGTACCACAAAAAAAGATATAAGCGTGCATATCATCAAACCTACCCAACAGAACCGGAACGAAGAACAGCAGACAATAATAGGAAGTTTATAAGAGGAAGGAATTCGGTAACTATAAGTTAGTAGCCTTTAGGACACCGTTGCGTGTAGTTAAAGTCGAGGAGTGGGCGTTTGTCTTGTTAAAGGAGTCCTTCCAGAAGGTGGATAGAACACGTCTCTGTGGATTGAATTGACACATTTTCATTAGCCAAATAAAATATTCATCTCTCAGGGACCAAACATACGGGTTTTTTTCAGCCACAAAAGCACATCGTGCAGGTGTAAGTCCTCACAGGCATCTTTTAGCATGGCTACGGTGTACTTCTTCCTTCCTAGATACAACAGGAATTTCTCAACGTCAGGATTCTTGTCATTTCTAGGGATAGAAAAAGGAATGAAACATCTCCGATTGGTCAAAATATGATCACCATGACTCACCGGAAAAAAGTCTTCCTCCATAGGTCAATATTCGTGGCCAGACGAGGCTCAGTCCGTGACCTGTTAGACCGAAATTAAGGTCAATACTGTGCGGAATTCTAAAATCACGCAGACGGAACAGGCGTGGATATTCTCTAAAATGACGTTCGCGAATTAAACAAATATTTTCGCAAAAAAGCGGGCTTCTGATCAACAAGCCAAAATGTCGTTAAATGGAGCATTTCGCTTTAGACAAAATTATGGAGACTCCAACCGTTTCAATAACATATGAAAGGCTGCAAAACTGGGAAGAACGATTTGTCCACCTACGTCTTGCCAGAATAAAAATAAATAAAAATCACTCACAAAGAATCTATCAGATGTTTCACAATTTCCTCCATAACCCCATCTTGTTTAAGCGCCCGTTTCATGCGATGAAGACCACGGTATTTCAACTCATCCACGGTTTCCTCGCCTTTCGGCAACTCTTCATCATTCAGCTCTTCCATCGCACGTCAAGAGAAAAAAGCTTCCTGAAAAACAATGGACTGTTTGCTTTTACCACGAATAAAAACATTGAAACGACTCAGAAAATCTCCCACGTTTTTCCACAGAACGCTTTTCTTCATTTCTTTCACGAGATGCAGTTGAACAAACACAGACTTGCACGCAGAGAATATTTTCTCGGAACACAACACGATCGCGACTAGGATTTCGTTGCGTTACAAAATGGACGGAATACTGTCACCATTTTGAGACCTCGGATGGAACGTAAAAAATTTCGTCAAAAGCTCGTAGCAGCAGCGTAAAATTTTGTGCGCTTTGTACACAGTTGCCCGCAAGATTCCCGAAGACAAACTTTGGCAATATTGTCTAATTTTCTCACAATTTATTCCCGAAAATCGAACTCCTCCTTTGGAAAAAAAAATTCTAGGAGTATCAGAAATATGTTGACTAGACGCACAAACGCGGTACCGCAAAAAAGAACGATACTTGAGGATACTTCGAAAAACAACGAGGCTGTCTGATTTCCACGACCTTCGCCCATTTGTCTTTAAATTTTTCCGAACAAATAATTTGGTGACTAAGGATGATGGGGAAGAAATTGGTCACCAGTACCCATGTGCGAAAGACCATCTGATTCATCTCGAATTTAATTAGAGGTCTCAGTGCAAGCGTCTAAAATATTATTCTAAACTTCATCCAGAGACGCACCTGAATTACAACAGATTAATATTTAGGAAAGTTCAATGGAGCGAAGTTCAAGACCAAAAATGCGAAGAAAATTGGAATTCGCGGAATCCGTCAATATCAGTGTTGACATAATGTGATCAATAAAAAAGGGGCAAAGGTCGTTAGTTTTCTCGCCCGATTTCGCGCAGAAACCAGACAACCCTCGCATTCTTGAAACGCTCCAAGATTAAGGCTTGGCAAGATTATTTTCAGTACGATTCACAGTAAAAGGCAGACATTGGATTTCTTTTTGACAGATTTCTGCTTTCCGTTTGTTACCTTGCCGTCCAGATTTTCGTCCAGCATCTTCACGTCACTATTCGTTTCTGCTGCAATATCAACAGACGATGAAAGCACGTCGTTTATTGTGATCGAAGATTTCGATTCAGAAACATCCAAGTTCGTCGGTGGAGATTCAACCGATGTAATGTGAGACGGTAGAGCAGATGCCTGAAATCAGGAGAATAGAAATAAGTTGAGCGCACTGGTTTCGTCCATGCGGACTGAATCACACACAATAATTTTGAAAAATATTTCTCAAATACATAAATAGAAATGACGTAAATTCAACGAACCGCATCGGCAACCTCTTCTTTCACTTCCGAACTTTCATCAGCAACAACCGCGTTTGATTGAACCCTCGTCTTGGCAAGCAAAATTGTGTGCATACCCCCACAAGAAACCTGCAAAATGCAAAATTACACACACAGAATTAGAATTGTTGAAAAAAGAGCCCGATATAGTTTCTCCAACCAAACTGGGAGAAAACCCCCGACTCGAGTATGGTATACAAGTTGAATCTCTACATGGATCTTGTCTACTTTGATTTTCTCAGTATAGCGAATTTTTAGGCCCCACAGGATTCTCTCCCAATGTCATAGAGGTTCAATACAACGAAATTCTTCCGATAAATAAATTTGTTTGTCCTCTTGAATTTTGTTGAAGAGTCCACCTGGTACCAGGAAAACTATTTCAATTATTACGGTTTTTTCATAAAATGTAAAACGCATTTTTCAAAGTTCCAGGGATCTGTGTTGAACTAAAAAGGTACTCTGTTGTACTAAAACTTCACTGTACAAGGATTTCGACAGGTGGAATGTACAGTGAACATATGTATAGTATTAGCCTTTGACTAAAAAGTTTACTTCAACACAATTCTTTCCAAATTTTCTCACAGGCTTCATTATTTTATTTTATCACGCCACACGGATTTTCCTCCCCTTCCATAAATAAAAAAAAAAGTCCAAGTGTTAAAAGAAAAACAAACCCAAACTTTTTTATAGCATTGGGTTAGCTTCGTACGCAATGAAGACATGAAGATTTTTATAAAGAATTCGAAAAATATGAGAGTCACAAACTTCATATTTCACCTTCACAATGGAGAGAGGTTCCAGCCAAGCAAGACGAACCGGGCCGACGAAGAAATCCGGTCCATCTGCAGTGCTTCCGGAAGTCAAGCTAACATTTTCCTCACACAGCTTTCCGTAACCCCGGTCCCCCCATGTGAACAGTTGGCCATTTACTGTTATAAAGCACGCACAGTACACATAAAAATCTTCATTTAAAAAAACTTCAACGTGAACAAAATGTGTACAGCGTTGCAATTTAGAACAGTACTTCAGCGATTAGAATAATTTTCAATCCATTGCCAATAATCTTTCCGGCGTTTCGATTCAGCCATTTTAATCTCTAGTAAATAAACGAACATTTAAAATTTAAATTTTAGCGGGAATTAATACCAACACGACGTTCGTTCAGATGCATAAAAGACAATATATCGGTATCTCACTCGTGATCGCAGCCGAATGGCGTTCACCACAGGAAATCTGCACAACTTTCTGATCAGTCAGACCAAGGATTTCGGCAGGGTCTGGACAGCTGCTGACGACCTTGTCCAAGCCGAGTTGTCCGCGTTCATTGTCACCGAAGCCGAACACACGGCCAGTTGCCGTGAGGATGATCGTGTGGCTCCCGCCACAAGACACATCCACTGCTCGTTCTTCATCCGGAAGCATAACATGTCGTTTTCCGTCTCCTCCGGAAGAGTTGCTCTCATTCAACTGCGCATTTTCTGTAATGCCCAGCACGTAAACTATCCCATCACCTGATCACACATCAGATAAGGGGAATATGAGTAAATCAGTTGATCACAGGATGAGCTTAAACGTCACGATTCCAATGAACTACAATTCGTGTACGAAGATGGGCTTTGAACCCTTAAATCATTAAAGAATCCCGGGTTGAAACAGAAAAATTTCGCGAGTTCGCTCGACTTTTCAAAATTACAGTACGTTAAATTTATGTTAATATGGGATTCGGGTGAATATTTCGCATACAGCTAGAAAATGCAATTGTTATTTCCCTTCTTTTGTTTCAGAGATGCAGAAATAATCTAGAATACGCGGACAACGACACTGCCCTAAAATTATTCCACTTACAGGTGATGGATAACATTTTTAAAAGAATTGACAGTCACTCACTTTTGATCAATGCTGTATGATAGTAACCACACGCTATCTTCTCGACGTTCTCAGCGATCAAATGGGGTTTGTTGATGCATTGCTCCTGAATACCAAGCTGACCTTCGACATTAGATCCCCAACCAAAAACCCGTCCATCGACTGAGAAATAAACACGTGGTTACACGACTTACAACAGATAACCAACTTCAGGAGATAGTTCATCTTGCTATGAAAATTCAGGAACCGACTCTTGATTCCTTTCGAAGATTTCCTTTCCTAACGAAAATAGTTGTCAAACATTTCATTCTTACTACGAGTGAATTCTCTAAAATGATACTCTCTGTACAGCGAAAAATTGTTTTCATAGAGTTCTCTGCAACGATTTTTTTTTGGTCCCTTGAATTTCTTTGAGGAGAGAGTCCACTTATATTCGGCAGAGGATTGATATTTTTAAAAATTGGCGTAAATAATTCACTGAAGTCTGTCAAAAACGACACCAATGAAAAATTTTATAATTGTTTTAAAATTCTGCAGTCAGAATTATTCAACATTCTTCGGCTGGACTTATCGGTCCTTCACCTGTAACAAAGTAATTACCTGTAAGAGCAACAGAGTGATGAGCTCCTGCCGCAAGTTGTTTCAGTGGGACAAGAATATCTTCAAGGAGTTGGAATGGAACTGGTTCGAATGAATCTTCGTCAGTCCCAATGCCAAGCTGGCCATCACTATTCAATCCACTACTGAACAGTAGTCCCGACTCTGAAAACGAAGTGATTGATCAACTCAAAAAATAAGTCCTCAGGAAGAGTCATACGAGCGAAAGGTCGTGTACAAAATTAGAACGACATTCTTCTGTTTTATCCCAACTTTTCCTCTTTGCGAATGTTGTCTGAAGGTTGACCCAGACTAATTCAACTCAACTAAAAGTACAATATAAGGACCCAAACACGCAAGTTTACGAAACACCTAAAATCCAACCTGAAGTAAACTGAATAAAATTACATCCGCGCGGCACCTAAAAGCAGCACTGACGAAAAAAATTGTCAGAGGAAGGACACGACATAAAATAAAACCGAGAAGGGCTCATAATTGGCATTTTTCCAATATTACATGAAACTCGAGAAGTCGAAATACCCCGGAACATGCGAACCTGCAGTTTTTCATTCTTCAACATTGACTGCGACTTCAAGACAGGAAGAGAAATGTGAAAGTGCAGAAATAAATAGAATACATTTTTAAACAGGAAATGCAACTAACCAGTAGCAAGAATCGTATGGGCTCGACCACCAGCAGACAGCACAATTTTCCGGGGTTTCAAACCTGCTCCGAGAATAATAACAATATCAATCAGGGATCACGTCCTCATAATCACAAAAACTCACTTTTGATACACGACGGTTTGTTGACAGTTTTCCTGTGTCCCAGGCCAAGCTCTCCATGATTATTACTTCCAAACGTGAACACGCGCCCCGACGCTGCAAGCACCACAATGGAATTGACAAAAATATAACAAAGCGCATCCTTCACTCCGGCAAATTAAAAAAAATATTTATGTACTGTATAATAATTAAATTTGCGCAAATACCTGCAACAACCACGGTGAATTGATCCCCACAAGATATGCCAATGATTGCATCATTGCGGATCCAAAATTTCCCAGGTTCTTGATCATTACCGAACAGACTGCGTCCAAATGTCAAGACCGCTCCAGATTCTACGAAAAGTTCGTATTTAAAAATTAATCCGAATAATGAATTTTCGAAGAAGTCTTACCAGGGATACTTGAAGCATCGTCTAAAAAATCCGAAACTTGCTCTTCAGGCATGACAGAACCGAAACATTCGAACGCAACAACACCTGAAAGATTCACAGAGATCTAAATTAGAATGACACATAAGCTTGGCATAAAAAAAACCTGAAATGATCTTCACGTAGCTAAGAAACATAATTTCTTACTTCACCCACCTTATAAGTACTGCATAAAAACTCCTGTCCTATTATGTGCTTGCACAAGGATTTCGTCTCGAACCAGGGAACTATCCATTCACAGGACAGAGCCAATCTTGAGGGAAAAAAAACTTTTCTGTGAAAAATTTCGGAGCTTAAGGACAATTAAAACTTACCAGAACACCCCGAGATCTTCTGACTAGCTGAAACTTCCTTCACACACAAAAAAAAGCACTTAATAAAATATTGTTGCTTCCTGTAGAACGAAGATGGAATATGGCATCAAAGAGGGTGTTCTCTGTTTCGGATTGAACTGAAAAAAATCATTTATAACACGAATCACTGCATTAAAAATGCCCGGGACGCTTTCGGGCCGAGTATTTCGAATCCGCTTTCACTTCCTTCCCTTGAAGTCTTCTGCGCTCCTTCTTCTGCATTATCCACGATTTGCTTCCTTTCACGGATTTTCCTTGGCGCAGTCCTCGCATCTTTTCTCTGCGATTAAGAAATTTAATTAAGGGTTAAATTGAGTTTCTCACTTCGCGAGTACAATGGCCAGGACACGCACCTTTTCGTGGTAAATTTTGCTTTCGCTACTTCAGCGGTCTCCGCATCTCCGAGAGCTTTAGGAAGCTGTTGCGGGCCCCCGGTCATTAGAACCAGAAAGAACTTTTTCGCCTTTGAACTGTGGGGATAATCCACAACAAGGCCCCCAGAAAACCCCGCTTTCATAGACTGCGCTGTGATGAGTTCAATTTGAGCAGAATTTTCGGGATAAAACTGGAAAACTGCACGTGCACCTCGGGCCTGAAATATTAACATCGGCGAATCAGATAGTAACCTTGAAAAAATGCCAGAACCCCCAAAGAAACTACTTTACCTTATGTATACGTCAAGTAACTTCCATTGTTGTCGCGCTTTGACTGGTCTGACGACATGTTGCTGCTCTTCTTTCGCTCGTCGGCGATGTGTGGCTTGTGATCATTCTTATCTGCATTGCACAGCCATTGCAATGCCGAAACACTGATTGCTCCGTCAAATACACCGGCACGGAAACACAGTCCTTCTCCAAGGTCACCAAGAATCAAATCTCCCTCGACTTCGCGCTCCCTGGCAATATCTTACATCAAGAATAGTCTTCGGTTTGACAAAAAATTTTCTTCCACTTTCAGGCTCACTTAGCATTGCTGGTGATATATCCACTCCAATCCACATATGGCCCTGCTCTTCAATAACTTCGCCGGACAGTCCTGAACCGCAGCCTAGATCAGCTACGAGGCAAAGTTTGTCGTCCGGTAATCCCAGTAGTTCCAATGCTCGTTCAGACATTTGCACTTGAATGTCGATCATTCTGGAACTGAAATACATGGTCCAATCATATTTCTAGACTCAATCGAAAAACTACGCCATCGCTTCATACTTCGTTGTGTATTTGCGGGCCTCCGTCTCATCATAGAATATCTCCGGAGGGGCTTGATGCTCAGGTCGTCGACAACTCATGGCAATAACCTCGAATTTCGCACTGTTCCCCTTTCGCGAGTATTCACTGAAAACCTATATCACAAATTGACGAATATAGAAACTTGAATGACAATCACGCACTCCGCGCACAATCCCTGACCGTACCACTTCGCGAATACAAATTTGACACTCTAACCCAATTCACATGAATAATTTCTGCGAAGTGCAACCAGAGGTGCTTCCTCAACTTTCAAAGTTTTTCCCGGAAGCCAGCCTGACGACGGATTTCAGGTGTCGGCTTCGGTCGAACACACCTACAACGCTGTATCCGCAAGAGGAACGGTACCTAAGGGATGGTTGTCTACGAAAGTCCTGTCCGCGCGGACTTCATCAACATGAACATTTAACACCTCGCCATTTAAAGTCAGAGATCTCCACACAAGTCACAGCAGTATGCTTCATATTTTTAGGCCAGCTAAGAAATTGAAATATTTAGTTGTTTTAACCATTATCTTTTCTAAAATTTAGTTAATGGTTAAGACAACAAAGAATTTTGAAATTTCGGGCCTGAGAAATGTTTAGCACTGTGTGACATGGGTGCTGGAAAAATTTGCCCCCTATCTGAAAAGCTTTCCCTGATCCTTATATGCAGTAAATCGAAACACGTCTTCAAATTAAAAAAAAAACCAGAACCTCACATCATGAGCTACTATATATCCATTTATCTAGTCATAATATCCCAGAAATAACCAAGTCATAATCTAGTCATAATTATGACTTCTAGTTTATCTAGTCATAATATCCCAGAAATAACCAAGGGTGCGCCCACGTGGGAAAACCCTTCGATTTTTTACTGTCAGGAGCATGATAAAAAATTTAGTACTGTAACTGCTTAAATAGTAGCAGGCAAGCGGCATATTCTTGAACTGTTAGTACATAGCTCTTTTTTCATTAAAAAGGATATGTTAAAGATGTTCAAAATTAGAGTAAACATGATGGAAAATAAAAGTGGAACAATCAAAAGTTAGCTCAAGCTCTGGAACAATTTTCTTCAAGATTTTCCATTGCAAAAAAAATAAGAAAAAAACATGTGCATGAGAATATCTTTACTCGACGGGTTTTTGGTCCTCTTCATTACAGTACACTGCGTTTCCTGGAGTAAGATTTTTGAGTGCATGTAATCTGAAGTGGTATATCATATATATGGAGAACATTTCTGTTGAAAAAAAAACCGCAATACCAATAAGGAATGCCCGAAGAGATTCATGGTACATATAGGTATGCAGTGAACATGAATACAGTATTAAACCGCCTGTACCATGCAGACCCACACTTTTCCTGCTAAATCAAAGCAAAAAAGTGGTGTGCATTTCGGCAAAATCAAGACAGTAAAGTGTGGTATGCGTGGTATGCGGGTACACATTTTTGAAGTAAAAAACATAAATCGAGTGCACACTGCAAGTATGCTGGGTATCAGTAAGTGAAAAAAACGTACATAGGCTTCAATCGTGTTAAAATGCTCTATTCTGTAATATTCATTCAAAGCATTACTTCATTCAACATGATCATCTGGAAAAATTCGATTTTGAACTTTTAAAATGGAGGTGCACCTAATATGTGCATGGGGATAGACGAGTTTGGGAAAATTTCACATGAACAACCAAGGTTCTCAATTCTTGAGAAGGTTGAGAGGTCAAGGGCTCATTCTTGAGTAGATGCAGTAAAATACCTCCACATGCTATAGTTCTCTACACGTAAATTTCAACCTCAACACATGCTGTTAGTCATTTCGCTCAATTAATACAGTCACGAAAAACTAGCCAATTTTCGGATCTTGCGCGTCTTCGTTGAGAAATTCCCTCACATATAGGATTACTTTTCCTAAGAGTATGAATTTTCTGCAATAATATGTCATGAGTAAATAAAAAAAAATTCAGAAACCCTCGATGATGTACGGAACTTGAATAGAAAATGATGACGAGGAGTCCAAATCAGTATGGCTATGTATATACGACTTTCAGAAAATGAGAAAATACACGTACACTAACTATACGTACTGTACAGTGTACACCACATAAAGTTCGCCTTTATTGGATGCATATACTGTATAGGCACTTTTAGAAAACTTGCTGTTCTAAAAGACCGGAACTGCAAATTATCCATAACTAGTACAGTACTGTGTTAATATTTTCAAAATGGGAAATGAACATTGAATTAGTCAGACTTGGGGTGATCACGGGATTAAAATTATTGAAGGGCTCTTCGGAAGAAGAAGGCGTTTTCTTTGCATCACCGGAAAAGGGTAAAAAATATGGTGCATGAATCACAGCGACACAATGGCTATTGCAAATCGTGGTAGTCTTACCTTATCCATTCCTTTTATCGGGTATTACTTGTATACCCGATGATTCACTAACCTGATTTCCAGGAAAAAAAAACTAACGTTCAAGCAGCAGTACCTAGGTGATTACATTATTATACAGTATATCCTATAGTATCCTGCTAGACAAGATCTTTGTGAAGATAGTACTCCTGTGACATTTGGCATTTCTATCCACCAAGGGTTTTATGGACCCCGCGCCCCTCCAAAAAAAGGGGGCCATTGACAGGGCCGCAAAAAAATCCTTTGATTCTTGGGCAGGCCGCTCATTTAAGACGGCTGCCGATTTTATATCATCCAGCAAGCATTTCACAGTTTTCTGTCTGTGTTCTTCGTTTTTCGGGGACATCATGATTTCTTTGGCGAAAACAACGCAAGAAGGGCTGAAGCCTTCAAAATCCTCTCTATGGTGCCCTTCTGGGATGGGGTCTACCGCCAGTCTTGCCAACAATATTTCAGTGAAAAACGGGGCCTCAAAAATCTGTTCTGGCCTCAAAAATCCCGTGATTTCTTGAAGTTTTCCATGGGAGGCTTTCTGGGTGCTCTTTCTGGGATATTTTCTGCACTTCCATACATTTACTTTACAACATGTGTATTTTCCTCCCAAGCTCTCAGTATCAATTGCATTTTTTGGCTTTCTTGAAGTTTTCCCTGGGAGGCTTTCTGGGTGCTCTTTCTGGGATATTTTCTGCACTTCCATACATTTACTTTACAACATGTGTATTTTCCTCCCAAGCTCTCAGTATCAATTGCATTTTTTGGCTTACTTGAATGTGTTTTTCATGATCATATAATTATTTTCATGTGGGATATTTTCTGCACTTCCATACATTTACTTTACAACATGTGTATTTTCCTCCCAAGCTCTCAGTATCAATTGCATTTTTTGGCTTACTTGAATGTGTTTTTCATGATCATATTTAATAAAAGTACAGGATAACCTTAATGAAAAATTAATATAGGATTACAAAAAGAAAATGACCCTGTTGGGACACATGAACTTTCAACAGGATGAACTCACGTCGTATTCGATACTAGATAGGGACCAATCCTGGATGTTGGAAAATGTAGGGATCTTTTGGGGTAAATGGTTTTAATTCACTGCTTCAGGATAATTTAATATTTTTTGTATGACCTGAATTCTTCACCCATAGAACAGTGGGCTAAAATTTGTCAAGTCAGCCATGACAATTTTAAAGTTTAAAACATAATCTTGTTTATATCTTGCAATTTTCAAAAAAATTTGACTGATGCCTGTTTAAAACATATGAAAAAAGGAAAATGTTCTGCTCCATTCCCGGTAGGGTTCATTTTCAGTTTTAATTTTTTTCCTGCTTTTATTCTGCCTATATAGGAGGGTAAGGGTAATCTGATCAAGTCCCATAACATCTTGGCCCTGATGGTCACTTGATTTTCCACCAAGTTGCAGATTCCCTGTCTGTTCCCACAGGGAGGGTATGTTTTTCTTTCCTGGAAAAATGTGATTTACCTAATCATCTTAACTGATCACCATATTCATTGTTAGTCATTTCGCTCAATTAATACAGTCACGAAAAACTAGCCAATTTTCGGATCTTGCGCGTCTTCGTTGAGAAATTCCCTCACATATAGGATTACTTTTCCTAAGAGTATGAATTTTCTGCAATGTAATATGTCATGAGTAAATAAAAAAAAATTCAGAAACCCTCGATGATGTACGGAACTTGAATAGAAAATGATGACGAGGAGTCCAAATCAGTATGGCTATGTATATACGACTTTCAGAAAATGAGAAAATACACGTACACTACCTATACGTACTGTACAGTGTACACCACATAAAGTTCGCCTTTATTGGATGCATATACTGTAAAGACACTTTTAGAAAACTTGCTGTTCTAATAAAAGACCGGAACTGCAAATTATCCATAACTAGTACAGTACTGTATTAATATTTTCAAAATGGGAAATGGACATTGAATTAGTGTCAGACTTGGGGTGATCACGGGATTAAAATTATTGAAGGGCTCTTCGGAAGAAGAAAGCGTTTTCTTTTCATCACCGGAAAAGGGTAAAAAATATGGTGCATGAATCACAGCGACACAATCGCTATTGCAAATCGTGGTAGTCTTACCTTATCCATTCCTTTTATCGGGTATTACTTGTATACCCGATGATTCACTAACCTGATGTCCAGGAAAAAAAAACTAACGTTCAAGCAGCAGTACCTAGGTGATTACATTATTATACAGTATATCCTATAGTATCCTGCTAGACAAGATCTTTGTGAAGATAGTACTCCTGTAGCCTTTTCTTAAAAGCTAACGTCAACGAGCAACACACAATCTTGCCGCCAATACAAGAACGAAGCCTGCGATGTACAATATTTCTACCTGATCAGCTCCGATACTCGGAATTCCTCAAATATTAATAATACTGTATACAGAACACATAGATTCCATATAAACGTTTCAGGATTCCATCAGGAGTACAGACAACAACAATCAACAATTAACACCATACACAGGACATCTCAATATCGACACAAATTTGTGGGCAAAAATGAATTCTCACTCATCAACGAATTTTATTAAGGCTGGTCGGCCGCAAACGTTCCAATAATTACTATACCCTGAAAAAACGAACGGACGGAATTCAGCGACTATAAATAATACGAACATCCGACTCAATAATGTGATCCATAATTGAGATTTTCACAATTACGTCTTCTGCAAGTAAATTAATTTCGACCATTGCGACTCCCATGTTGCACATAGTAACGCATACCTGAAAAACACGATTTGAAATTCCTAAGCAGTACTGCCTGCTCAAAGCAGCATTTTTCGACAGATGGAGGAAGAATTTGAAACGGCCATAAACAAATTTGAGGGGCTAAATTATGCATGCTTAATCAATTATCCTTCGCCGTTCCACAGCACGAAGCTTTGAGAATTTACGAACAAAACGTAGCCAAACCATCGACCGCAATCAAACCATGGCTTGCACAAAACCCTCCTCTGATTCCGCGGCTTGCTTAAATCATACACGGTAATAATGTACTAACTCATGCAGACCAGCAAGATGGAAGTTTACATGGGAAAACAAAACACAGCCCGTCTCAAGGTTCCGGTTTTTCACTGAATAAATTATTCACCAACACGGACCGCAGCAATCTCGCGTCCTTGATGCATTAACTAAACCAAACCAACCATCAATCAATCAAGCAGCCCGAAACAGATTCTGCATGTCGGAGAATCACACCGAACCGTGTCAAGGGTGACATGCAGAGGAATATAATAGCTCTACCACAATTGGAACTTATTGCATACCTTTGGCCCTCGCTTTCAAGCAACTTTTTGAGCGATTCTCCTTACCCGTCTCTATATATACCGAGCGGGCAACATAATCACAATGCGAACATCTCAAGCACGAACAAAAGATGACACAGATGGTGGATATTCCTCATGGATATGGATAACGTAAGTCGTAAGGGAAATGGCGCCTCATCTGTGATTCGATGGCAGCGACGGATTTATGCAGCACACGACCCGATCTTCGTAACTCATCATCCCAGGATCAACTCAGCAGCATAAAAGCAGTATTGTACGTTTACATAATTTTTTACGTCTGAAAGATCGAAGGAGAGTGGGAGCCCCTAAAAATATCCACAGCGACCATCTCTTATATCAATTTATTGTGAACACGGATTTCCGGTATACGCACCTTATTGAGCTCGACCCCTTTTCACGTTATAATTTTAGAACAATAAGCATCATATACAGAAGATATATTCGAAGTATATATAGCCAAAGCAAAAAGATTTACTGTACTCCGCACGCGGATGAGTATACTGTACATACCTCTGGCAACGCCTCGTTATAAGATCGAGGACTTATTCTACGAAACGCGGACACAAAGATTCGAAAATACAGGCGCAATACATTCATTGTGGCACGAGCAAGACCAATAAGTGAGAAAGGGGGTGCGGTATATACAGTACACATCAAAACTATACAACATACACAAGTCCGCGATGAAGCTTTTCGGAACAATCGGGTTTGAAACTTGCCAGGTATGCGTAAGTACTGTATCGCCTTCGAGTCCAGACACCGGGAGATACGCCGTCGAACACGACCGCCGGTTACATCCGATGCTTCAGCAAAATACACTATGCACAGTTCATCAACCAATATAACTTACACGTCCTTCGATGTCGTAACGTGCGAATAAAAATTACACAGAACCTCAGCAGATGATGCGAGCGTACACACGATAGGCAGAGAGCTCCAGAGCTTTCTTGATCAACAGATTAAGACAGAATCTTGAAATAACCAGACGGAATAGCAAACGCGTTACCAAACCTCACCATGAAGTTGACAAATATGAATCACCATCGTGTCATGTATAATACATTACTGAGTAGTGCATGCATATTGCATGGGCAAGTCCGCAAGTAATCAGGAAAAGGACGTTTTTTCTTCGACTTTTTTCCTTCTCCCCCTGAGCACATAAAAAGGCAGCGAGCAACAGAAGAAAAAACACGAAATGAAAGACAAAATATTCCGGCGAAAAAAAAAACCTCGTGGAACGCATCATCTCAAGGTCTCCGTTCCCCGCCATGGTAGGTCAATAGAAAATTTCCGTGAATTCCCACTTCATAGATTAAGTTTCGACGGCAACATAATACGGAACAGAAATGATCCTTCAAAATCACAGATACATCAGCATACACCAGTGTTTCTCCAATCCATGGTCCGCGGACTGCATGGCGCCCTTGCGCAGAAGTTTTTTCAAGTCCACAGGTTTTCAGCAGAATTAATTTATCAGAAGTCGGGGAGAAGTCTGTTCTCTTTACCCAAGATTTTGGAGGGACAATAGCAGTTGAATTCTCTAATGAAAACAAAAGATGGCTTTCCTTGTACTGTATTAGCACTTCAGACACATTTTCACCTGCTGAAATAAATTATTTTAATTTTTCATCCAGAGGAATCTCTCTTCAAGCCCACCTTTCTGATTGTTTCGAGGCATTCCTAACTACATTTTTTTGTGAATACCTGCCTAATAAGATTCAAGCGAAACTTGGAAAAGCCTTGAAAAGTTAATGAAACTTCGCCAGTCTGCAGATTTTTTCGAGAATTTGTTGGTCCATTGGCCCAAGAAGGTTGAGGAACACTGGCAAAGACAATGCCCTTCACAATTCGGTAATCAATTAGTCATGGATGACATGATAATCCATGACATACACATAGTACAATATTTCAACCGACATGAGAATTATTACACAGAACACAGAAATGCGATGGAAATACGTGCAGTATAGTACTGTACTATATTGTAGAACATAAAGGAAAAATGATCAACCCGCAGCACACAGATGTCGCCCTCACAGTGTCGTGCCAATTCAACATAACGGCGCACACGCAAGCGCGACTGTGGAGCGCCATTTATAAGTGACTCCCACGTATAGGTACGTGTCGCGTCATTCATCTAAGCAGGCATGGTGCGATAGTCAACACTGAATCGTGCACATTCATTTCTTCCGCAGACGAACCAAGGTCAGGTCCATTTCAAAATAATTACGTAAGTTTAAAATACTAGGTTATTTTCCAGCACAGGCACCTTCACCAGCAGTTCGTACGTTTCTGCGATCAAAATAATCATCGCCGCACCCTAACGAATCGTACAGCACCTCGCACGTGCTTTTGCAAGTGGAAGCTTATTGTAACTGTCACATTTCTTCTATGTAGAGGTGTCCAGTACGTTAAGAATGGATTTCCCGCTCAATTAAAGCCGGGATAATGAGAGTTTCTGTACTATGCAGCGGAAATGTTCAAGTCTATTCCGGTAGACCGTAGAGCGTAGACTTAAAAACCGTGAAGCTGAAGTTAATCAGGCTGTGTAAGGCGAAAAACTTCTGCGCGCGCTGCTCTCCTGCTGCTGCTTCTTGCGAGGCACACATACTGTATAGCCACAGGACCGCTGCTACTTCATTCGCCTGCTATCCTTCACGGGGTACGGAGTCAGTGTTTCGAAGGCCTTTTCTTCGGGGAAAGGAGCAGGATCATATAGTTCCCATCATTCACGCAGAACAATCATGAGTGTCATAGGTACCAAGCTCGAATTGGGAGACATCGCAGTGATCGCAGCCTACTTCCTGGTGGTGCTCGGAGTCGGAATATGGGTAAGCCCATATGTCACGTTTTCGGGGGTCCCTCTTTCGCGACTTTTCTTTTCTTTCGAAAAAAAAAGTATTTTTAAAATTGAATTTGATCCGCGGAGGGTGACAACGTCATGAAGTCTTAGTGAAACTGACTTGTGTCCATCGTCTCGTTCGTTTTCTCGTTTCCGCTCCTGTCTTCGGTCGACGTGTTACCACCAGTCTTCCAGACGAGTTTCCAAGGGAAGCATCAGCAGCTACTTCTTGGCTTCCAGAGACATGCACTGCATTCCGGTGAGTGCATATGACCTTGAATTTATATTTTGAGCTTCATCGAATCATGGTTTTCCTATTTTCTTGTATACATATTTTAATTAAAAAGCATGATATAATTCCGTCACCCAAGATAAAATAAAAAGTACATCAGTTGTAGCTTCCCCTCAGTTATTCTAACATTCAATCAAACCTCAGGTATAATCCTACCATTTTTGTATTAAATTTTGTGGCGCTAAATCTGGGTTATTGTAAGAGAGGACAGAGGAGGGTTATTTAGTCGAGGGTTTCTATATATTTTAGCCAAAATAAGCTTTTTTTCATAAATGTTAGCATTGTTAGTACAGTACTGTATTCTGTTTTATAAGAAAGAAAGTCTCAAGAAATAAATTGAAGCTCAAATTAAATGCGTTGAATTTGTACACATATTATGTGAAGGAGAAGGACAGAGCTGTTTTCAAAGAATTTGTATGGATTTGAGTATTACAGTATATCAGGTGCCATAATGAAGGTATCACCAATGTTTCCAGGAAAGATTCCAATTTTAAAAATTTGAAAGAGAGTACGGTGTATTCCTAACCTCTGAAATTAAGCCAGAGAAATTCTGACAAGAACTTGATGCCGCATATTTTCTGCAGAGTACTGCATTTTTCGTATAAAAGCTGAACATTTTTTAAATTTTATTGAAAATTTTACTGCTGCAAAAGTTAAGATTTTGTTGTTTTTCCGATAATTAACAAATATTCCTGCAGCCCATGTGCGGATTCACGGCAAATCGTTTGCGATACTGAGATTAACGGTGAAAATGGCTGTCGAAACGAGATTTTTACGACGTGGTTTATATATGAAGAAATTGCCGGGAACTATCAAAAATTCGTCGCGTTGAAAAATTCGTTATGACGGATTTTTATTGTATTTCTATTGTGATCTCTCTTGTCTATATTGTGGGCATCAATCGAAGAGAATCTTCTTCGACGATCCACTTTCAAATGCTGACTTCCTCGGATTTCCAGCTGCTTATTCCGATCCAGGCATCCACAAAAATTATAGCGTTACGGAATTAAAGAAATAAAACAACTTCATATTATGACGCTGATGAAGATTTCTTTGAATGATGAGATTGAACACAACATTTACCAGTCCCATGATCTACATCAGTTCATTATTATAGTACTTCAGTTGCGTCAGGTCGTGCGACACAGTCGAGTCGATATTTTTTGAACACGCCTGGAAACTCTTGCTCTGAATACACATTTTTATGGCTTTGTAAGACGATTTTCGCACGAAGTCATTTGCTGAACACGTTTGATCGGCGCATTCGAACGCTTCCAGAAATTCTGCTGGTTGCGTAATGAAAAGGGCAAGGGAAATTGTTACATAATATGGTTATTATACAGCACTGAACATCATATCCGCTGTTCGAGGAGCGGTGTTGTATACGATTTATCGCACTTTCTATATTTCTGACGAATATTTTTTTCTGTATCATTTTGCAATCGCTGTTCCAACAAATAACTCGTACATTATTCTTCCTCAAACAATGCATCTTGAATTCATTAACTTGTTCAAACCATGAGGTACAATTGTGAATCAGTATCAAGTTCCTCAGCAATGAGAACAATTTTTGTGAAAGAATTTCACAGATAAGTTCAATAAAATAATGTGTTTGAGAAGGTTTTATGAGGAAGCATGGTTGCTGCTGTGTTTACTTTTTGAAAATTACTGCATGACAGGGACCAACAAACTTTGTGCAAGAATATCATTAATTAAACTACTTCAAGAAGAAAATATTGTTGAAATCCTTTGTGGAAATCCAATTTTGTTTTAAATGGAATCACAATCATCCTCTGTGCAATGCCTTTTTAAATATAAAAATCACAAATTATCAATAAGTTGATCAATATGTGATTTTCTATAGAAAATCACAGAATACTTGAAGGAAAAATTCCAATACTCATCTTGTATCACAACTTTTTTTTTGGTACTGTGATCATTTATAGGGAACACTGTAGGAACTGCGTTTCTTGTGTCAACCCATGTTTTTTTCCTATCATGGAACTTTTTGCAATAGAAAATCACTGGTGGAAAATTTTCTTTCTGAAGCATATAGTGATTTGCGATTTTTCTCTTAAAAATAATTTCTATCCATTGCCCAGCAGTGAAAAAAGCTTCCGTTTTGGAAAATTGTGAATTGCTTTATGAAGAAAATTCGGTACTTTCCTGTTATCTCAGTACCTCATTCCTAGACCGCACTACTATCCTAAAAAAATCTTTAGGGCGAGTTCATAATCACAACAACCTACCAGAAACTGTGAATTTTATTTTTCCGCATTCTGCAGAAACTGATTTTGGGAGGTAGTTAGGTAATGTTAGAATAGGTCTGGTTATGTTAATTACAAATATCTTTTAATTAACATAACCTGACCTAACCTAACTTTACCTAACTGCCTCCCAAAATCAGTTTCAGCAGAAACCCTAATGAGAAAGCAGAAACTGATTTTGGAAGGCTGTTAGGTGAAGTTAGGTTTGGTCAGGTTAAATTGGTCAGAGGGAAGGTACAGAAATAACAGGAAAGTAGGTACAGAGATAGCAGGAAAGTACTGAAAAGGTAAACCTCTCTGTGTCTGTATTTCAAATTTTAAAAACAAAAAGGGAGCAAGTGTGGAAAACAATAAATTTGATTCAAGTATGGGATACTGAAATCAAGTGCACAAAAAATAGCATCTATACCGGAATAGCATAACTCATGCTGGTTGAATAAGTATGTCATTGCCTCAGATTAATTTTTTTCACTGTCCATGATACTTAACAAGTTCGTTGTTTTTTGAATCTCCAAAAGAAATAATTTTATTTTGTTTTATCCAACTTTGTATGCCATAAAACGGCTCTGTTTCCAAACGAGATACTTTATGCAATCATCAGATGGGATATATATTCATCCATGACAATATAGGGCAGTCATTTCAATGAAATACTGCTGCAATTCACCATTCATGAAATCGTCTTTCTTATTTTCTTCTTCTCCTTTCGACGGATTATGGGGAAATTAGATGAAGCAGGAAAGAATCAAAGAAACGCGGGGAATCCTCCATCGTCGTCGAGCGCGTGAGTCCAGAGGAAATTGCTTGCACAATTTTGCGGAAACTCGTATCCTGATGATTGGAAATTTGCGTGTCGCGTGTTACCATGTCGTGTCCTGATCCGTGTTCTGCATGATGACTGATTTCTTTCACTTTTGCGTGATTGCAGGACTTCCGGGTTGAATCGTGCTTCCGTCGTCACTCGACAGCAGGATCGTAAGGGCATTGACGAAATTATAATAATATTTCGATAAGGGCTTCTGATAACATCATGTCACGAAAAAAATGTGCAGTTGTCAAAGGTTTCGAGTGAACCTATAAAAGTCGTCTAAGTAGAAAAAACGCTCTATTTATGTACATGTATAAACATTTCCATGAAAATCGTAACATTTTTTCTGAAAAAAATTCTTCCTAAATAACCGAATACTTTTGTTGTTATTGAAAGAATTACAATTCTTAAAAAAAAATGACCAAGTCTTCGATTATAAATGTATACAGTATTTCTCACATATAATAGCACGAGTTGGGTATGAAAAGTTCCACAGTGAATCAAGAACAAGCCTATTTTATGTCTGCGGGAGAAACTGTTCAAGAATCATAGGAATAAATGTAAATTACAATAATTGCACTGAACCATTAAATTTCATGATCATAAAGATTTTAAAGAATTTTTTACATGAATTTATGGCTAGTTTCTTCAGGAAATTTTCTCGAGATTTGGATATTCGTTATTAATTTATTTTGCCAGGTTTTGCAGAATAATTTGATCTGTATGCGAAAAGTGATCTGACTAATCATTGCAGCATTTGCTGGTACGGTCTAAAACTGAAAATATCGGCACATTTCAGATTTATAATGAGCGGAACCGATAAGTCTTATTTGAAATGGTCACGAAATCTGCAGAAAAACGTGCCCGCTGGAATGATATGCGCCCTTCAGAATTTTCAAGGCCGCGTCGAATTTTTGGGCAATAAACTTTTCCTCATTTGCCTTTTTTGCAGGACTTGCTTCAAATTCGGATGATTCCAGTCCAAGATTTCGAACTGTCAAAAGCGATACATTAGGTGAAGTATCTTGAAAAAAGCAACGGCTTAACTGGTACAGTACGTTAGTCCTTACTTTTTTTTTAAATTATTAGTTAGCTATTATATTTTAAACTAGAGCCACTCCAATAACCTTTTAGTACTCAAAGTAAGGTACAGTAGCACTTGTTTTGATTGCTATTCTAAATCAATGTCAACACAAAACGTGCTTATTTTGTTGCAACATATAAAACCTATCCTTTCAACAAACTTCAGTAACGCTTGTGGAATAAAACACACATCACTCCCATAAAGGCCGTGTACGATATTTAAAACTATATATGTGCAAATTTTCATCATGCATTTTTTTCGTTAGGCTGAAAATGACGTCATCTTGAAAACTTTGTGTTCTCAGCTTTCTAACATTCACAAATTGTGAAGCCAAGAATGAGGAAAATTCACCCTTCTCCATTTCTTCAATTGACTTGAGAAATTTCGAAGTTTACATCAAAAATTGCTGAAATGTAAGCGGTTGGGCCAAAGAACATAATATTTGAAACAATTTTCATTGGCTGAATCACTGTTTTCTCTTTTAAAAAAGGTTTCAATTTCACATTTTTTCCACGTTTATTTATCCAAGTGTAGGCCCACTCCACAGTTTCATGTCCAGGGGTGCTTACTTCCCATGATGACCAGTACTTCCATGTAATTCTTTCCTGTTTCAAATCTCTATGGATCCAAGGCCATCAAATTTTATTTACTATGAGATTCAAGAACCTGAAGAATTATTGCATATATTTCAATTTGTTATTTGATGTAATTGACCACCTCTTTAAGCTGTACAGGTGGTACAGTACCTTGCAATTTGACCTTAATCTGTTTCTTGTCTGGGGTCAAATTGCAAAGCAGTCAAATTGTGATACAATGTCAAATGGCATGTTTTCTGCATGGCATTTGATGTTTTGTGTCTCCATGCAGGTTGAATTGCATGGCAGAGGTCAAATTGAGATTTGACCTCCTAACAAAATTTAACTATTGACTTGTGGGACAGTCAAATTGTGGGAGGTCAAATTGTGAGGCACCACCTGTACTTCAAGTTTTATGAGTTCATGTAACCATTAGAACATTTTTGTGATTTCACTATTTTCCTTGAAGATAGCCAGATGGAAATTTCAGTTCTCTTCATGCGCAGATTCAATGAATTGCTTGTACATTGTCTTAAGGAAAGGCCTGGAGACTGAGGAACCAAGAAGCACGCGTAACTGCTGAAACGGAAGGACGCGACATCGAGGACAGCGGTTTCGAACCAAACTTGATTCAGAGAACGCTGCCGACCAAAAGAGGCTTATTCCTGTCGGCGCGAGGTGTCGCTCTTCTCCTCAGCTTACTGCTCAGTGGGTGCTTCAGTCCATTTCTCGAAGGTGTCGCTATCGGCACTGCTCCTGGACCCAAGGGAGCTTGCGTGCTGTTTCTCGCTATCGCTTTCCGAGAAGCGTTTGCCAATTTAATTCTCGGATATCAGTTGGCGATTACCAGGGGTGATATTGTTTATACTCATGTCCACATGGTGTTCAGTGCTGTGATTTTATCCATTGGTGAGATTTTTTTTATCTTCCTTGTACACGTGCGGGGTTTGCTTCATTCTGTTACGTTCGAGACGAAGTGACATGAAAAAAAAAAGAAATGCTTTATTATAATGTATAACACTATGCATTGCCATGAGAAGGATATGAATTACGTACTGCAATTGTAGTTTTCAATTTCCCATTTAAATTTAGGTGCACAGAAAGACTCCGTGAATAGGGGAATTGATGCAGCAAATTTTCTTATACTGTATATCCGTTCTATTTTTAAAAAAAAATTTTCATCAAAAAATCTTTTATATTATTATATTTTTAATGCCTCCATTCAAGAAAAATGAACGCTTCTATGTAGTTGAACCAGTTGAATCAACTTGAATTTTGAGGGACCAGGTGAAAATTTGACTTTGAGATATTTCAAGTTGGGCTAACAAACATTTTTGTCATGAAAAATAGGGCTCAATTACATTGAAATTAGTTATATTTTTGGCCCTAAATTGCTTGCTTTTTAAAGAAGTTTTAAAAACATGCTAAACTCGGAGGTAAAGGGTTTGTTAGTCCTGATAATTCTTTCACATTCTTCCAAGAGGCATCAACTAAAATTTTTAATGTTTCTCATCTTTTATATGCCAAATGCCTTTGAAAAATGTGAGTTACAAATGTTAGAGGGAAAAAGTCTTAAAGTCTTTAAAAGTCTTCAAAAGTGGAGGAGGTTTTTAATACACCATTTCCAAGAGAATTTACACAGGGACTTCAAAAAATTTTGCGTATGGAAAAATTAGACTTGGAGGGGTTTCAGTTGTTGAGGTTAAACTGTAATAAATTTGCTACAAAACCCTTTCAATGGACCTATAAATGAAAAAATCCTGTCTAACTCAAAAACTCCTTGAACCAATTGGTCTAGAGGGCAGTGTTTCCCAAAAATGTTTTGCTTGATGACCTGCAAGTGCTAATAAAATATTTTGTGGCTCAACACATTGCTGTAAAAATTTTTGTGGACTGGCAAAGTTCCATACAATTTTTGAAAACTAGGGATTTCGAATACCTGCCATAAAGTCCTCAAAACAAACTTGTATTGCAAAAATTAGATGAAGAACCAATATCTGCTGGATATTGGAATGTCTTGAAAAAAAAAATCAAAAGCTAGGCTTCAAGAAAGGCTTCTCAGATTTAAAATTGAAAATAATGTATTTCAGACAAGTGAACATATGTCTGAAGCATCAAGCGGAATAAGAAGAAAATTCAACTTTTTTTCTTCGGGAATTTCAACTACCATTTTTCCAAAAAAAAGTTGGCATAATTAGCAATAACAGTCTTCATTACTACCTTCTATAAATGTACGAGTATCATGGTGAAGAAATTTTCCCGCAGACTGGCAGGAAACTTCTGCGGACTCGGTGCCAGTCCGCGGATCATGGGTTGGGGAACACTTTTCTATAGGGGGTCCCTTCAAATTAATCTTGAGAGAACTGTACTGTATTCACCTGTATATCGAATATTAACATTTGTGATTGTTCTATATTATGTCCACCAGAATTGAAGGAAATTGTAAACACGAAAATCAAGATTCCTTTCATCTAAAAAAAATAAAATCTCCCAACTTCTTCACATAAAAGGCATCAATGTCGGCATGATTCTCCACGAAGAGGAGTTGAGATTCACTTTGAATCGGGCTGGAAGGAACGCAGAACTCGTTATGCTCTTTGCAGCAGCAATCCTGCAAGAAGCTATTTTTCACGGTCTGGCAGCTGTGGTAAGAAGCATTGGAGACCACAAGCTACTTGTGGTTTTGTGTCCTGCTATGTCCATGGCTGGACTCCTGGTGTTCACCCTGCTGGAAGAAGAAGTTGATGCGTACTTTCGGAGCTGAATATTTTTTTACATTGGTTTTTTTGCTTATGCTTTCCGAGCAGTAATTTCTCCTCTACGGTATGTGCGTGAATAAAATGAGAATAGTTAACGACCAAAAATTCCAGATGTAAATTCAATTGTACATTTTGAGTACAGTACTTGACTCTTATATAGCCTCGTGTATATATATTATATGGTCACTCGCTTTTTCCACTATACTGTGATTAAAATTTATTCCAACATTACTCAGGTAGTCAGGTGTGGGAAAAGTTCCTTCAAATCTCTGAAATCAAGTACGAGTATGGCAATGGGTAGAAAAGATTTCAGCGAGGCATGAGCTATAGTACAATTATTCATAGGGGCTTGCAAGTATATATAGATTTAAATTATTTTGATTTAAAAGCTGGAATTACCTCACCAACACTCTATAGAAGACTTCATGGAAGGCATTTAAAAAGTTTCTGCTTTTTCACAAAAACTAAGTTAAGAACCAATGAAGCAGCTTCTATGGAATGTCTTCAGAAAATTAGAAAGGTGGACTTGAAAGAAGGTTTCTCCGAATTATGATTTAAAATACTATAGTTCAGCAAGTAAAAATTTGTCTGAAGTGCAATTAGAAGAAAAGCTAACTATTTTTTCATCAGATAATTTCAACTGCCATTGCATCTCCATAATTTAAAATGAAGATAACAGATTCCATTGGTACTTTCAATAAATTTCTTATACGCTGAAGAAAATTTCTGCTGACTGNGTGCAATTAGAAGAAAAGCTAACTATTTTTTCATCAGATAATTTCAACTGCCATTGCATCTCCATAATTTAAAATGAAGATAACAGATTCCATTGGTACTTTCAATAAATTTCTTATACGCTGAAGAAAATTTCTGCTGACTGGCAAAAAAAATTTTGCACACTGGCAGCAGTCTGCAGACAGCAGGTGAGGGAAATCTGACCTATAGAAATAATGTGCTTCAAGAAAATATCACTAGCAGAAAGAAGCATTGGAAATCTCTGGTCTTCTTTTGGCTTTCAATTCACAACACAGTTCCAAAAGCTGTGTCTTGCATGCACTACAGTCAACCCCCATCTAACATACCTCCCAGCTAATGGATTTCTGTCTAATATACCGCCTCCAGAGCAGGATTGTTAATTGCAATCAAAAATATGATTGCCAAATTGAATTTGCAGTCCAGCAAGAAACTTATTCTCAAATCAAAAACAATTGCAAGGCAGTGATGTTTCAATTCCCCGATTGCAATCACAATGCATTTTTTCATACAGTATTTGTCCCAATTGCAATCACAAAGTCTATTTCAACTGTTTTCAGGATTTCCAACCTGTACTTCTTACAATACATGCATTGTAATAATCCCTGATTAATCTCAAATTATTTCCAAAAGTCAATTCTGTGAAAGGATGAGGGGAGTACCAAACAAAATCTAATCAAAACAATACTTTTGCACCATATATGAAAATCATATTTTCTCATTCCATTCAGAATTATGTTCATCTTTTTCAGTTTCTGCCTATAACATTAGTATTCCAGGAAAGAGTGCTTCAATTCTAAAGTTTGAATCATTATTCATTTCAATTTATTTGAAATTGTAAAAGTACTGATGCATTCCAAATTTCTTTGTTCTTCTTCACAAAAAAATTAATCATTCTTGGGAAGAAAAAAACAAAATTTGAGGTGATACATTCAAGTTTTTTGTTCGTTTTGTTATTGCATTCAAAATATTTGGAAATTGGAATGCATCCATACTTATACAATTTCCAAAAATTTGAAATGAATAATTAAAAATGGAAGTCCTTTTTCATCCTGGATAAGAAGTATAGGAATCATTGGGAATTACCTGTGCAATAGGGAGACAGATCCAGCACAAAAAAAACATGGATAGCATCTAATGGTGTTCAGACTAATCTATCCTTATCCTGCTGTCCTCAGACCTTAAGGCAAAAGAAATCTCCTGAAATGTCAAGGTAAAAAAAACATAACACAAGCAGAAACTAGACTTCGGATGAATTTTTGAAGAGAAAAGAAAAAAATCAGAAATGAAAAGTGCTTTCGGAAAAATACAAAATGGACTTAGTTTTTCATTTGTAGCAGAAAATAATTGAAAAATTCTACAAATTACAGAAAACTTAGGAAATATTGTTTTGAAAGCAAAGAATATTTTCAATTTTTTTCTGGAATGAACATTTTTTTAAAGCTTGGATGTGACATAGATGTAAATGCTTGCCAAAACTGGAAAGTTTTCACCTACTGTCTTGCCGTAAATCTAAAAACTTTCAAAAAATCCATTTGGAGGAACTAAATGGTTGAAATTTCTAAAAATGGTACCTAGAATTACCCGAAGTCTATCATAGCTGGGAAAACCCTCTGATATGATGCTTAATTGTCTCAGTATGTCATAACTGTGTATATATACTTGTACATGTATTTATAACTCAATTTTGTCTGTTGGACGAAACCAATGCGTCTGTGAAGAATCCTTCCCAAATATAATATTTATTCCCAGCTTCTGACACATGAGACACAGTAAATTATTGGGAATATATTCTTCTCAATATTAACCGAGTACCTCGAATAACTAACTATAAAATAATTTGTAACTCACAAATTGGGATCAAAACAAGACCTTCATTTCTGCGAGCTACTTTGCCCGTTTCAAGAAAAAAAATTTGTGCATTCTCTTTGTGTTTTAGACAAGTTTATGATATTGATATGTCCAGGTCGGCGATATGCGATGTGCATTCAAGCGATTCACACATTAGTGACATAATTTCTATTCCGAAAGTTTTGTCACTGAAAACAAAAGCGCCGGAAGAACAAAGCTCGCGATATGGTGAAAATAATCTGCTAATGAGGCCCCGTTGACTTTCAAACGACACTTTATCCACGGCTGTTAGCCTGAATAATCTTTGTTCTTTGATCGTTTGTGTCATTTAGTTCATTTTTTGAGAAAGAAGACATTGACCGAGAAATCGGGTCATAGCTTATTTTCACACGAGATAAAATCATCGGCTGCTTTTCATTTTCTCCCAGATTCTCGATAAAAGGAATTCCAACCGAGTGCCAGAGCTTTCTCCGAAACCAGCGGAATACTGAATGTCACTTCCCCTGAATTTGAAATTAAAGTATTTCGGAAACTGAAAGGTTAAATTTTGAACTCACGGTCATAAATGAAAATGATATACGTTCGTGTGTCATTTTTGATTCATAAACACACACAGTTTTACAAACTTTTAATTTTGGATGAACTTCTCTTCCTGCTTTTTCAATTTTTGTGTATGAAGTTTTCAAACTAGGATAGAATGAATTCTGTCCATTTAAAATATAAAGTCAACTGCTCGGCATGAAAAACTGTATGAATCGTACATTGATTATTTTGAAGTACATTCATAAAAGTTTCAATATTTGACAAATTCTTGTGTAAAACGAATTGCATGTGCACCTTTTTGACACAGAATTTTCTCAAAATGTTCTCAACAAAATAAAGGTTCGCATCTTACTTGAATAAATACCGAACTACTGTATATAAAGATTTGCAGATGAATAGAACATTCTGGAATGATACACTTCTCAAATATAATGGGTCACTTTGCTTCTTTTGGATATCGAAATGAAAAATGGAGTATAAAAAATGTGAAGACTAAAAATATTTCAGAAAAAGTATGTACAGTTTACTCCCATGTAATTTTAAAAGTATTTCACCTAAACGTGTAAATAAACGTATTTCAATTGCTGACGTCATGCATGTGAAATTGAAAAGCTTCGTTTTTTCACGGATCTTTTCGATACAAATATGCATTAAATGATAGGTTTAAATGATCAAATTATCTCTTGGCAACTATATACTGTATTGTCATTTGAGAGCACCATATCTATAAGATCCTTCGTTTTTGTCGTGTGGGGATTAATCTATCATTTTCATTTACATAAATAAACTATTTTTAAGACTTTAGTATTCCCCAAAACAAGTGAAAATTGAGCCGAAGGAAGCTACTTATTTGAAAGAGATGAATTGCTGTAAAATTGTATCACATCATTTAAATCTAAATTTTGAGGGAGAGTCGAAATTTAAAAGTATTTCTGAAAATAAGGCCAAAATAATTCTAAGAACTGAAGAGCATTTCCAATTCGCTGCTTTTTTTCTTGCTACTTTCCCCAATCGTTTATAAACAAACCAAAGAAGCTGTTAAATCGTCATCAGTTTCAGGAATTCACTGTCAGAATACCTATATCGAAGATTATCCCATTATTTGATTATATGAGCATTTAAGTTTCATCTTTTGAATATGAAGCGAGGGATGTTCATAAGCTACCGACAAAGCTTTATTTATATGCCTCGTTGCAGAACTAAAAAAAAATTTTCCTCCAAAAATGGAGAAGAATAAAGAAAAAAAGAAGACCCATTCACATTTAAGATCCATTGTTCGTTCATTTCAGAATGCCGTTTGATGTTTCTCGTCTCCGCGACACAAATAAACAGAGCTGCAAAAGGGCGCGTATTGTATAAAAAAAAAAAAGATATTCACCCCGGGATGGCAACAATAAGCATAGGACTTGAAAACAAGTTGAACTAGTAGCGATTTTCAAGGACAAGAGCTCCTCAAAAGTCAGCATGGTTGTTTTTTTTTTTCCTCCATTATTTCATTTATTTTGAAAATTTTGATTTGATTCAATAGTATTTGTTGTATGCGCGGTACGGAGAGAAAGCAGGGCCGTAGCCGTAAGCAGCAGGGTGCTGGATGTAGTTGGAGTAGCCGTAGGCGGCAGCAGGGACGAAGGCGTCCACGCGCTTGGTGAGGTGGAGGTCGGGTTGTGGCACGACGTAGGCGCCGACGGAGTGCGCCACAATGGGGGCGGTCACGTCGTAGGCGGCCTTGACGACGGGCGCGAAGTCCTTGTGGGCAGTCGGGGCCAGGGAAGACCGGAAGCCGAATTCGTCAGCGACGTAGTTGTTGGTCAGCACAGAGCCATCAGCAGTCGGGTACCTTCGAATAAATAATACCCCAAAACATGTTAACACTGTACTGTGCAGCAGCAACTTACAGTACAGGATAGTGCCTCGACCTGGCATACTAGAGGTTAACCCTTGGATGGAGGAGGGTTCTTTCCCATAGCAGGACAGAGTTGGATTATTTTCTTATCCTCCGGCATTTTTGAATTTTTTAAGGTCAGGAAAACCCTTCCAGGTGGGCCGAGGCAAAGTCGGGATCAATCCAAAAAAGCCTGTAGCCTAACTGAGCATTTTTTAAATTTTCCCTCAAAAATTTTCTGTGCCCAAAGAAAAAAACATTGGGATTTTTCCTGACTTTGCCCTCAACCCCCTGTTGACATTTTTTCTTCACCTCTCTGAGGTGCAACAAAATTTTGCAAAAATAGTCCAACTTTGCTGCCCACGGGTTAAATATTGAATTGAATTGAATGCAAGGCTTTATTTTCTGCTTTTCAGCATTTGTCCCTGCTGGTTCAAGCAATGTTCCCACATCCAACCCTTTCCCCCTCTCCACCCAAAGTCATCCAAACACATTCCATCACATCAGCATGGATAAAAGAGAAATATGCTGTATGTGGACATTAAAAAAAAAAGAAAATGCATCCCAAAGTGTACAACTGCACAACTGATGTAAATGCATACACTTTCTTCCCCTTCCTGATAACAAAACAAAATCTTGGTAATACAAATTGCAGCATAACGTAATTACAGAACCAAAATATAAGCACAAGGAGTTCATTCTGCTCCTATATAGATAAGGTAGTTATTGATTGAACAATTTGGAGAGAATCTTTAATGAGAAATCATGTAAGGTTAACCCTTGTGCAGCAAAGTACAAATATGTTTGCAAAATTTTGTACCACTGGGCACTGGGAATAAAAAAAAAACCTACTTTCTTACCAAGGGCTAAGTTTGGAAAAAGTCCAAGAATTTTTTCTAATCCTGCAGAAAATTTTCAATGAAAATGAAAAAAAAATCCCTTGCTGGGTGGCGTTTTTTTTCCTGCATTCTTGGCATTGGATTTGCATTGGAAAATCTTGCAAACAAAAGAAGATGTGCCTCCTGGATTTTTACCAGCTTAGGCCTCCTCAACCTGGGCACATTTCAGTAACCTTGGGTCAAACTGAAAAGTGCTGCCCCCTGAAAAATCCAACTCCGCCGTGCACTGAGAAAGAACCCTCTGCCATCCAAGGGGGAAATATGCAAGTCAAATTACAGTATTTTCCTATTGCAGAAATAATGCCCAAGTATGGCTCAGCAGTAAGTCAGTATACACTCAGTACAGGAGATGAGTCCTGAACTCCTGATCAACCATGAGTACAGCATTACATCAACCATCACTGTCAGTTTTGAGCACAAAGACCTAATTCTAGGTCAAGTCCCTGAACTCAACAGTATATCAACTACAGTAGTCACCAAAAAGTATCCTACATCATGGAAGTTTAGGGCTATGCAAGGAAAATGCGTTTCTGGTATGAAAATTGTTTTTAAATGCGACCGGTTATCTATTGTTGCTATCGAGACACTCTTTTTCATTGTTTGCTATTGATTAATCTCGAGATGGGAACATTTCCTTTTCCAAAATAATCGATTATTGCGTTGTGGTATTTGTTAAATCATCATCACGTATTGTGAAGAGTGCGAAAATTTATATTTGCATGAAAAATGCAGAAATCGGAATACTGCATTTTGATTTTTCAGCTTCAAGAGTTCATACAGTATTTTAATCTATTTATTTTCTCTAATTGACTTGATATCCACTTGAATTAAATGAAAGCTAATGCAGAAACTGTTTCGTGTATATACGATGATACCGCATTATTCAAAATTTTTATTTTACTTTGGTTTCCATTGCAGCAAATCATGATAATTGAAGCAATAAAATTGCAATATTACGATACCACAATATTATTCATGCTTCGTAACTTACATTTTATTATGATTCCCTTAACAAATCATGATAATTAAAGCAGGAAAGGTGCAAGAATAACATGATACCACAAATTTATTCATGCATCCTAACTTTCATTTTATTATGATTTCCTTCGGGTTAAAGCATGACAGTAAAAGCAGGAAAGTTTCAATAATAACATGATACCACAAATTTATTTCTACTTCGTAAGTCTCCTTTTATTATGATTTCCTATTTGAATTCAATCATGACAATTGCAGGTACGAAGTTACGATATCATGATACTGAAGAGTTTATTAATGAATTTGCAGGTTTCCCGCAAAAACTCTTTTGAAAGATTTTGTTTCGCAGCCGGGATGCCGTTCAACCACTGAATTATTGTCTGTGAAAAATCGCCATTAACCCGACCTTTTGAGGTTAACGACAGCAACAAAATAAAGACCGTAGAAGCTGATGAAATTAAATGTGAACAAAACGTTAGTGACATCTATGCCCGCATCTGAAAATAATCCCTTGTACTGATTTCATTACTGTATATATCTTTCTCTATTTTTTTTGAACGGGCGTTCCTGAGTGACGATACTACACGTCAATTCCTCAGTTGTTTTTGTTTTTTGTTTTGCTTCAGAAAATGACTGAAAATAAGAGAATATTCTGGAGTTTTCTCACGAGTAAGAGCCAACGACGGTGCCGTCAGCATGACGAGTCTCCTGCTTGGCACCATTGGGCTCAGCGTATCCGTAGTTGTACTGCCCGAAGTTGTCCTGGCTGTGGTACTGGGTGCGTGCCACATGAGAGGTCTTGTGCACCACAGGCGCCACGTACTGGTGTTGCAGGAACCCGACGGGGACCACGCTAGCCATGCAGGCAGCAAAGCACAAGGGCAACAGGATCTACATTCGTGGGCATGGACGAAAAGTTGAAGAAGACGACGTACGTGAGGAAATTGTAATTTTATAGGTAAATAAAATCCTAAGGTATTTAAAAAAAATAGCTCGAAATCACCTGAACTGTATCTTATCCAAATATAACTCCAGAGACTATTCCGGCTCTAAAACATGGTGTTTACATTAAGAACCTCGATCCGAAGAATCATAGCGTAATATTGACGACACATGACAACATTTCAGAAAATTCAGATGATACCAATAAATGTGTACGTTTTTCATCGAAATCGGAAACTAGTTTGATAATTTAGTACGTTTTCATCATTTTCTTCAGATCAGAAATTGCGTAATCTTGAGATAGTGGATCATGGATTCTGAACAATTCTGCAAAAAAATGCGAAGATCATATTCATCAACAGTAAACTCTCGGTTTCAAAACAGAACCGCATACAGACATTTCAAGTTTAGCCAACTAGACTAGCTCAAGTTATTCGCCGTTTTTATGAATTATTCACTATAGCTGGTGATACAGTAAAATGTTTTTGCACCGAAGTTATTGGGATTAGTCAAGTGGCTTCATTGTAAAAAAAAATCGTTATATAGTAACTCATTTAACTTTGTGGGCATTGGGCAGGTCCTAAAAAACAACTTTCTTGTAAGCGATTATTCATTAAAGCGAGATTATAGAATATTTTTTCGAATATTCCAGCAGAATTTAACGGTTGAAAGCCTTTTGATTTTTTCACTTGCAAATGTAGTTCTGCAGCTTTATTAGCCTGAAATCTTCCATGAAAATGTAGTTTCAGTATGTGCATTTTTATATTTGAGTTTCAGCAAAAGTATCTCATGGATCAACTTTTCAGTGACGACACTGACGAATATGAAGGTGAATAATTGAATCAACTAATTGGAACAATTAGATGGTAGCAGGTACTGTAATATTCAGTTAATTTCATTTCGTCGGGTACTTTTCAGAGCAGGTGACTGATGAAATTCACTGGAGATATATCGGATCATATATTTCCTATTATATGCGACACTCACCAAGGAATTCATGTTTATTTCGGATTTGTTTATTTTCGGCGGGTTTGGCACACAAAAAAATAGCAGCAGCTGGCTTGCTTAGCTAACCGTGAACTCTCAGGCAAACTAGAGAAGCAACTGATGACTGCTCCAGGTCTCAACTGCCTTCTTATATATGAGCCGCACTGGGCCTCGCCCAAAAATAGTTTCCGGTCGTCCAATACCCTCATTCACCCAAGTCATTCTTCCATAACCTTCCTTCATTGCACCGATTTCAATGCTTCGATTTCTTTTTTTCTAACTTGCGTTTTCCTCTCGTCAGCTGCCGCCTTCTCGTTTATTGGCGCCCTCCGCCGCGGGTCATTCGCATTTCCGGACGTATATCCCAAAGAATATTAGAAAAAAAGCGGGTGGGATGAATTTTGCTGGGGTCCTAGAGCAATTCCCCCCCTGCAGATGCGAGACAATTTTTTTCACCTTAACCCTGCGATCGGGTAAATTTTGGTGATTGGTGCGGGGAGAGAAAAAAGATGGAAAGTAGCGGCGTGAAGGTCAATGTTGCGGGTTGATTGAAGACTGTTGTTGAACTGGTTTCGGGCGTGGCAGCGTTGGATAATGCTCTGTATACAGTATATTCTTGGACTCGATTACGCGTGTAGGGTCGTTGGGATTTCATCCGTGGTGCTATAGTTTTTCGATGAACGGTAATTATCATTCTTTTCTTGATATGCCAAAAAAATGAATGGACGGAATTCTGCACTGCGGGGCACATATATACGCCAAAGGCGAACTAGAGTTTTAATGATATATTCGGCATATGTTTCGGAGCTCTCGGTGAAAATTTGACACGGATCTTGGAAAGCATATCATTTCATCGTAGATGAACCAGGACGAGTTGAGTTGTCGTTGTTTCACAAAAGGTTCCGATCTGGGAATTTTTTTTTCTCTTTCGAATTTAAAGTTTTCATAACTTACATATATGGAATCAGAGCATCTTGAAATTTACTTCAGAACTACGTCAATGAAAGCTTTTTATTCATTTCCATCTTTATCCTTGATTGGCTATTTTTCTTTGTTATTCCATGGAATATTGAATATCCCATGGAAAAATCGCTCCGTAATTTTGGACCTCGAATTCTTTCCCCAAACCTGTTAAGATTGTAATCCTAATCTCACATGTTACATTTCTCAGGAGGTTTCCTTTCAAGATTTGTGATTCAATATTGGTGCTGAAAAATGCACATCTGTCGAAAACCAAAGTGAGTTTGACAAGATACTGTTCTGCAAAGTGATCCATAAAATCTGGGACTGGGGCTGATATCCATTATAGAACCTATCATTGAATATTATAGGATCAAAAGTTGGTGTTCACGTTTTTATAATTTCTTTGCATCAAATTAGCCCAAAAAGAGAAAATATGTCATGGTCCAGATACAACCAAAATTGATGTTTTGAATTAAATTGTACGCTACTACTTGGTATTTTTTTCGAACTAATATTGACTATGAATAATTCAATGGTTGGTGTTGTAATATTAGCAAGGGATTACCGTCCATTCTGTAATTTATGTTTTGGTTTGTCACGCATAAAATGAGCAACAGCAAAAATATATGAAAAGCAGGGAGGTCTGATCAGAATTTTACAATTTCAGGCATTTCAATTGGTGGCAGAAACCTGCATCATGCTTATAAAATACGTATAACTTATCATCTCACGCCTCTTTTAAAAGCTTTAAAGAAATGCGATATAATTTTCTTAAAGTGTTCAATTGTTCACCACGTCCGTTACGAATTCGAAGTTATAATTAGGAATGAGTACAGGAATATATAAAGCAACAAAATCCTCTGATTTACATGATGTATATACTCGTATTTTCTTCTTTCACGGACTGATTAAATCATAAATTGTGAGCAGGTACACATAATTATCAAGCTTTCCTCTATAAGCTCTAATTTCCTCCGATATATTCCTTCTCTCCACCTGATACTAGGTTTTGAGCATGACATTTATAATTACTGTACATAGAAATCCGAAAGGGTTGAAGTTTAACTCAGTTCTCGGAAGTCACGTCTGTAATCCAGTACTCTTTTGATGCAGTACCTTGGTGAAAATTATATCTGTACGTTTAAAAATACATGACAATAAGCAGGTTTTAATTTTTGTATGATAGCGAGATCAACCTTCGCATCGATACAAATCGAAGAAAAAAATCATCTCGCAATATGCATAAATAAGTACTACGTTCTGCCTCTGATTTTTGGAAAAAGTACCAATTGATATTCCACAACAGCTTTTGTGCATTCTGGATCCACCTCGTAAAAATACAATCCTTTTCCTGTATACAAGATAAAAACTTTCCAAGTATCGGCCAAGACAAGGGTGGGGGTTCCTTGTCCTCAAGTTCATCACATCATCAAAGTCATGTTTGTCAATAAGTCGGCTTCTTTTGAGGAATGTACTACTCGTAAAATGATGCAAACAAAATACCTTTGAAATGGAAAACAGACTCTATATAGGAACCAGGAAGAAGCAAGAATTATTAAATATCAACAATACATACAGTATATAACAAGAATCGCTTCAAGTTGAATGCATTCTTTTCAAGAGTACGAAGTCGTTCTATCGACAAGTTTACAACTTCATATTTTATTGTTCTCATACAGCGTTTTTATGGGTCTTTCTCTTTATTTTCTGGAAATCTCTGGAGATCGTTCAGGGACTTTTTTGTTCGTTTTCCCATCTGAGACTCACGTGAGATTTGAGTCCAACCACGCCCAACATCAATTCCGTCCAGCAGCCCGAAAGAAGGACCTTTGAAAAATGACTCGAACTCTCGTCATTTTCATTTTTCAGAAATAATTTTTATTATACTGACTGCTCAAGGATTACATACATTTATGCGTCTGTCACCAAGATCATCGGCGAATAATATAGGAGAATACACTGAAAAAAGAAGAATGATTCATATTGCCGACGTACGTGTCATCGCGATGAGGTCCTTGATTTTGAAAAATGATATTCTGGAAATTTTGAGATGTCCTCACGTACAAAACGAGTGCAGGGGGAATAAAGGAATGATGAACAGTTGGATTCGGAATGTGTCAGAGCCAAAACGCGTCAAGTTGGAGCATTTCCACGTGACTGATCATACGTGAGCTCCTTCAATCGGCGAAGTTCTGTCCAAAAGTTCTCAATCGGTTCCTTTCGAATGGTTGAAACACCACAAATTTAATCCCTCGAGATTGAAACATTAGTTCAGAAAAATCTTTTTTTTTTAGTTTCTGCTATCACGGAAATTTTTCTCTTCGGTGTTGTCTTGAAATGGCTAAAGGAGTAGATGACGTATAGATTTCGAAATGTCATCAAAATTGTTTTGTGAATGACCTGCTAATGATGAATATACGAACAAGTCTACGTGATGGCTCATGCTTTTGAGGTGCTTCCATCCAAAACTTAAGCTTCTTTGCCTAAATGAAAAAAGAACAAAAATTCAATTCCTCAAGATTAAAATATTTGGTTAGGAAAAAATGTTCTCAGTTATTTGTGGATTTCTCCTACCTGATGCAGCTGTCTTGAAATAGCTAGGAGTAGAAGACGTATAAATTTCGAAATGTATCAAAATTTTGTTGGAAACCCTGCTGATATAATGAATACGAGCGAGTCTTTTTTTCTCGTCACATTCTTGAAGAGGGTGGAATGAGTGGATAAGAAAAGTTCCTTGACTCCTCTCGTCACATCGAACGAATTTTCATCCGTGATTTATGTCCAATATGTAGCTCTGGTATAATGGAATTTTAGGTCTTCCTTATGACGAGCTGTCAGTGATCACTTCATTTAAAATATATATATTTACAACAATTGTCTGTAGAAATTGTATCGTAATAATCTGGAGGCAAGTTTTGAATATTACCATCGTTCGCGTAGGAAAATCACTAAATTTCAGATGTGATTCCTCCACTAGGAATAAGTTTAATTTCTAGGCCCGAAGTTGAGTTTGCTAACTTTATTAAAGCAAGAAATCGACAACTTGAATACTGTACAGTACAGTACTGCATTAGACATTGAGAGCAGACACAATAATTTCCGTACATGTAAGAGTACAGTCTAATTTTTCAATGCTAGAAACACATTTAATAACAAACAAAAATTAGTTTAAGCTAAGAGAGATTTGCTGGACCAAAAAAAAAAGAGCAAAATCAATCCAGTTAAAAAAATTTTTATAATATGCTCATTGATGCAATGCAGCATTTCTCCACAGGTAATTTTTCAAAAAATATCCGAACTGTTCAACCTTTTGACAAGGAGTGTTTGACAAGGGATATATCCCTTTGACCACGGATTTCCTCCATGATTGAAGATGAGGAACGACTGATTCAGGTTTTATTCCCGAACTGACCTTGATTTGGAAAATTCGGTTTTTTTGCTGAAATCTACGTGCAGTTTTTCAAGACAAAGATATTATTTGTCTTCTTCAAAATTAATGTTTATGCAGGATGAGAGCTTCAAAAAGAATGCAGTACGTGCTTTAAATTCCAGCGAGAAGTTCTTACCCGTCCATGTTCTTCAAGACTTCAACATACAGTACTTCAAAAATTTAATGTGGACAGGGACGTTTATGGTTGTTGGGGGTAAGGTTAACTTCACAATTGGTAATTGGCAATGAAATGCTTTGAAAAGGGATTTCAGTCATGTGTGTTGAGCAGATATAGTCCATTCAATCTTTTTGTTAAAAGTTGCAGCTTTTGTAAATTCTTGTGTTTTTCAACAAGTATTGATTGATTTAGCAGCAAGCTTTATTTTCTGCTTTTCAGTGTTCACAAGGTTCAAGAATTTGTTCCCACATTCAAGCCCCCTCCCTTCCCCACCCATCATGCATTCCACCACATTCCATCACAGTAAGCTGGAAAATAGAGACAAAATCAGCTGTACTGTATATGGATCTTAAAGGAAATTAAATAAATCTACAAATTTTCAATTGCACATCTGATGTAAATGAATACATTTTGTTCCCCTCCCTTTCTCTTAGGTCATTTATGACATGAGTAAAACAAACTGGGATGAATGAAAATAAGTTAACAGATCATTCAATCAAGTGCAACACTAGAAAATGTTCACTGAATAATATTTGTATTAGCAGGATCTTCAAATGTTTCC